CAGCTTTGAAACGGAGATGAGCACTGCAACTCTAGAGTCGCATTCGACTGGCTTTCGAGCAAGGGAAACCTTTTACCTTTAGAGTGGAGCAGTTCATATCCTGAACAGAATATAACTGCTGTAATCTTCAAATGGGCAATGCCAGACCCTGTGCGGCTACAGATTGCTGCTGAGCGGGGCTTCCTGTGTTCATGAGCGGCCTGTGTCTGTTTGGCAGCACCAACACGTGTTTGAGGTGAAACATAAAACCCTCCAGGATTAAATGTGGGGTTAGAACTCTGCACGCACAAAGAACAGTCCAGTGCACAGGGCTTGGATGCCGGAGATGTGGACTGCACTGCAGGGTGGGCCAGCCTCCAGGCGGGGCCTAGAAAGGGTTGCCAACCTGCAGTTGCTGGCTGGAGATCTCGTAGGATGACAATGGATCTTGTGGGATCACAATGGATCTCCAGGCGACAGGGATCAGTTCCCCCGGAGAAAGTGGCTGCTTTGGAAGGCGGACTCGAGGGCATTATACCCCACTGAAGTCCCACCCCACCCTCCCCAAATCTCCAGAGGTGGCAACTGCATGCCTGGAGTTCTCCCAGAATCACAACGGGCCAGAAAGATCAGTTCGACTGGAGGAAATGGAAGCCTCCAAGGGCAGGCTCTAGGCATGGGTTGGAGATTTGAGGGGGTGGAGCCTGGGGAGGGTGGGGTTCGGGTTCAGAAGGACCTCAGGAGAGCACAACGCCATAGAGCAGTGGTGTCAAACTTGCGGCCCAGGGGCCGGATCAGGCCCTTGGAGGGCTTCTCTCAGGCCCTCAGTGGAACCGGCTGTCTTCTGCTGCTTCTTCCAGTTCTGCTTCTGCTGCTGCGTCATCGCAGGTTTGCATCTTACAGATACACACCTGAACAGCATACTCAGGATTGCAACAGCACAGACATTCTGATGCAATAATTCAGAGCAAGAGGTGGCAGTTATCAGACACTGTTAAATAAACAAAATATTGCAAGAGTGCTCATGAGGGACCACCTTTCCCCATATGTTCCCCCAAGGGCACTACGGTCAGGGGGGCAACATCTGTTGGTTATCCCAGCCCCCAAGGTAGTTAAATATGCTGCAACCAGGGCTAGGGCTTTTTCGGTGGCGGCCCCTACCTGGTGGAACGAGCTCCCGGAGGAGATCATGGCCCTGCGAGACCTTATGCAGTTCCGCAGGGCCTGCAAGACGGAGCTCTTCCACCAGGCTTTTGAGTAGGGGCTGCCACCGCCATCGTACCACCACCTGGTATGGGGATGACAATTATAGAGTAACATCAATTGAGCAGAGACAATTATGTTTACTCGGAGTGTGTTATTGTTATTGGCATTTTATTATGGAATGGTCTGTTGAGCACCGTCTTTTAACTGTTTTATAGGTAATTATAGGTATGATTGTTGATTGTTTTATGTATGCATGTTGGAAGGGCGGGATACAACTTTAATAAATAAATAAATAATAAATACATATGTTTTAAGCATGTTTTTATTTTGTTAAAAATATATCTTTGTGTTTGTGTCCTTTATAAAGTTTGTAGCTCTGCTACCTGGCATTACATTTTATGGCACGCCTGGCCCGGCCCGACAAGGTCTCATTTATGTCAGATCGGGCCCTCATCACAAATGAGTTCGACACCCGTGCTATAGAGTCCCCCCTCCAAAGCAGCCATTGTCTCCAGGACAACCGATCTAGGTTGTCTGGAAATCAATTGGAAGAGTGGGAGATCTCCAGGTGCCACCCGGAAGACGGCAACCTTATCACACCCCTGCCGAGCCCCCTCCAGTCCCAAAACCCTGCCTTCCCCAGGCACTGCCCCCAAATCCCCCGGAATTTCCCGAGCTGGAGTTGGCAAGCGTGAATGCTGCGGCTGGAACCCCGCAAAAGCCTCCAAGGCGTGACGCGGCCCCTTTAAAAGCCCCCGGGTGTGTGGGGGGGGGGTCTCTCGCGCCCCGAACAGGTGGCCGCGGCTAGAAATTGATACTCAACGTTCTAAAGAGGGGGGGACAAAAGGAGAGCGAAGGGGCGCGAGGCCAATCGGAGGGGAGGTGTGGGCGAGCCGGGCCAATGAGCGGGCGGCGAGGCGAGAGGGGGCGTGGCGGCGGGCGCTGGGCTGGAACTGGTGCAGTTTCCAGGTCGGTCCTCCGCCCGGGCGAGCGGGGCGCGCAGAGGGTCGGGGCCGGCCATGGCGAAGCGGCTGGCGGGGGGCCCCGCGGCCCTCCAGGCGGAGGACTTCTCCTTCGTCAGTCCGCTGGTCAAGTACCTGCTCTTCTTCTTCAACATGGTCTTCTGGGTGAGCCGGGGCGGGGCTGGGTGCCGCTTGCGTGTCGGTCGCGTGTACGTGTGAATGGGACGCGCGCGTGTGCCGAGGTCCGTTAGTGTCCGGCCACCTAGTGGGGAAAGGGGGGGCTTTTGCCCTTGAGGGGGGGGATCGTATCCTGCAGCGGCTCTTCTTGCTGCAATCCGGCGTCTCGTGGGAACGCTTCAGTGGACGCGCGAGTGCAAAGGAAGCTGGGTGGTGGCGTTTCCCCAAGGCTCGTGGGGATGCTTTTGAAAGATTCACCGTGACGTCGGTGATATACTGGTGGGCGAGTAGAAAGGGGGATTGCTGGAGATGTATCGAGCGTGCCCCCCTTGAGTGCCTTTCTAAGCTTCCTTGCCCTCTGGAAGGGAACTCAAAGGGCATTTAAATGTCTTCTGAAGGCAATTAAATGCCATCTGGGCTGTTTTCTCCCTAGGAGCTGTCGTATTCGCTGCCTTGTCCCTTGAACGGAAGGGCTAGAAACAGCCTCGGAGTCTCCCCCTTTGAAGACGGGCATGCAGATTAATTTAATTGTGATTTAATTATTTTTCTTATTTTTAAAGGCAAAACAAACATGCGGTGGGGGATATTAACCTATCACTTATTTCCTTTACAAACTCATGCCTACATTGTAATGCATTTATGAATGTATCAGTTTATCACTCTGTAATGTATTATTTTAACTGTGATGTTTTCATTGCGTATTGTGTATGTTTTATTTTGTATTTATGTTATTGGAAGCCGCCCCGAGCCCGCTTTGCGGGGAGGGTGGGGTATAAATTTGACACTAAATAAATAAATAAAATTCACCTTATGTCATTAATAAAGTCTCTTGCAAAAAAACAACAACCAGCTCTGAAGCTCATTTGCCCTTAATAAGATTCCAGTAGTTATATTGTTCACTTGCAGTAGTGAACAATTTAATTGTGATTTAAATGCCCCCTTAAAGATTTAAATGCCCCCTCCCACAACAAAATTCTTATGGGAAGCGCTGTTAAGTTACATCCAACTCATGGGGTTTTTAGGGCAAGAGACAAACAAGGGTGGTTGGCTGTTGCCCTGCCTCTGCGTAGCAACCTGGGACTTCCTTGGTGGTCTCCCTTCCAAATACTAACCGGGGCCGCCCATGATTGGTACCAGGGCCTGGTGAGGTTGGGCCAGTCTGGGCCGTCCAGGTCAGGACAAAAGACATTCACAGGTGGGTTTGCTCTTGCCTGCCTCTGCATAGCAACTCTGGGCTTCCTTGATCATCTCCCCTCTGAACACTAACTAGACCTGCTTAGATTGTGAGATCGGGGCCCCCTGGGCCAATCCAGGTCAGGGCGACTAAGCTTAAGGGTGAGGCATTTTTATGGTGTTCTGCAGAAAAGGAAACCTCGTGTAATCAGTGTTCCCTCTAAGCTGAGTTAGTGTGAGCTAGCTCACAGTTTTTTAGCCTCCAGCTCACACATTTTTGTCTTAGCTCAGGAAGGGATGGCTCCAGAGCAACTAATTTATGCAGCAGCCAAATTGTTTGCTCACAACTTTAATGCCAGTAACTCACAAAGCACAATTTTTGCTCACAAGACCCCACAGCTTAGAGGGAACATCGTGTTTGCAATGACGTGTTTAAAGGGCAACCTCTTCTTGCTATACTGGCAGGTTGGAAAATAAGGAAATGGTCATTAATCTCCGGAACGTCCTGCGTGAAGGGCGGCCGCTAAGGTTGCCAGCTATGGGTTGGGAAATCCCTGGAGATCTTAGGTCTGGAAGCCATGCTCCCTCTAAGCTGTGGAGTCCTGTGAGCAAAAATTCTACTTTGCGAGCTACTGGCATGAAAGCTGCGAGCGGGCGATTTGGCGGCTGCATGAATTAGTTTGCTCTGGAGCCAGCCTTCCTGAGCTAAGCCAAAAATGTGTGAGCCGGAGGCTTAAAAAACTGTGAGCTAGCTCACACTAGTTCGGCTTAGAGGGAACACTGGCTGGAAGATGAGGTCGGGGGAGGTGAGGGGTCTTTATAGGGATGGAATGCAATGAAGCCCCCCCCCTCCAAAGCAGCTGTTTGCTGCAGAGGAACTAATCTCCGTTTTCATTGCGAGAGATCTCCAGACCCCACCTGGAGGTTGGCGACCCTAGTTGTTTTGAAGAGATCTTGGAGGAGGAGAGAGAGAGATGTAGAATCATAGAGTTGGGACCTCCGGAGTCATCTAGTCCAACCCCCCCGTTCCATACCCAGAAGATGACAAAAATCCCTCCAGGATCCCAGGCCAAACCGGCCTGCAGAAAAATGGCTTCCTGACCCCAACGTGGCGGTCGGCATTTCCCTGGGTGTGTAAGAACGGGCCACGAGAACTAAGCACTGATCTTGCAGAGCAGTGCAGGGGAAGGAGTGTTTGGGTCTGGTCCCAATGGACCTGGGTTCCAGTGACGCTTCCGAGGCCAGCGGTTTTCACTCTCTGGAGGACGTTTGGAGGGAAGAACCAGAGAGCAAACCTGGGACCGGTGCATGCTAAGCTGCGGCTCATTGCTCCCTCTAAGCCAGTTTGGTGTCATGGTTAAGTGTGCGGGCTCTAATCTGGGAGAACCGGGTTTGATTCTCCACTCCTCCACTTGAACCTGCTGATGTGACCTTGGGTCAGTCACAAGCTCTGGCACAGCTGTCCTTGAAAAAGAGCAGTTTGTGTCAGAGCTCTCTCAGCCCGGCCTACCTCACAAGGTGTCTGTTGTGGGGAGGGGAAGGGAAAGGAGTTTGTAAGCCGCTCTGAGACTCCAAGTGAAGGGTGGGGTATAAATCCAATCTCCTCCTCCTCCTCCCTAAGCCGTGGAGTCTTGTGAGCAAAAACTCTACTTTGTGAGCTCCTGGCATCAAAGTTGTGAGCGAGCGATTTGGCTGCTGCATGAATCACTTTGCCCTGGGGCCATCCCTTCCTGAGCTGAGACAAATATGTGTGAGCCGGAGGCTAAAAAAACTGTGAGCACGCTCACACTGACTCAGCTTAGAGGGGGCACGGCTGGTGACCTTCGGCCCTTCCCAGGGATGGGGGTCAGCCGGTGCGTTGTGGCGGAATGTCCCTAGGGCTGTGGACAGGCCAAGTTGCATTGCGTGTGATTTGCTAGAACAAGCAGGAGCAGCCTGATCAGTGTGGTTTCTGGTTTCCAGAGTGGATTGTCGCAGTGTTCTCAGCACGGGGCTGCCCTTGAGAACAATCCAAAAACTTGCTTTAGTTCAAAAATGCGTTCTGAGCCTGGCTACAGGGTACAGTCAGACTCAGATTTCTTCTGGAAGAACTTCCCTAGTTGCCTCTTTGTTTCTGGACCCAATTATGGGTGCCTTTAAATCCATAAGTCTTTCCGCCATCGGGGAAAAAAGGTAAAGGTTCCCTTGCTCGAAAGACAGTCGAGTCCGACTCTAGGGTTGCGGTGCTCATCTCCGTTTCAAAGCCGAAGAGCCGGCGCTGTCCGAAGACGTTTCCATAGTCATTTGGCCGGCATGACTAAACGCCCAGGCGCACGGAATGCTGTTAACCTTCCCACCGAAGTGGTACCTATTTATCCCCTTGTAATTTCTTGCTTTCGAACTGATAGGTTGGCTAAAGCATAATTTCCTCCCATGAGACCCACCAGGAGAGGGGTCGGTGGTCACAAAAGACAAGGCTTTTCCTGTGGTGGCCCCCGAGTTCTTTTTATTGTAACCTTGTTATTGGATTTTATTGTTATGCCTTATGACTGTGAGCTGCCTCATAGAAGAAGAGATTGGATTTATACCCCGCCCTTCGCTACCCGAAGGAGTCTCAAAGTGGTTTACAATGTCCTTCCCCTCCCCACAACAGACACCCTGGGAGGCAGGTGGGGCTGAGAGAGCTCTTTCAAGGACTGCCCCTGAGAGAACAGCTCTGAGAGAACTTGTGACTGACCCATGGCCACACCAGCTGGCTGCACGTGGAGGAGGAGTGGGGAATTGAACCCGGTTCTCCCAGATTAGGGTCCGCGCTCCTGACCACTACACCAGACTGGCTCTTTCCTTGTTTGCTTGTTGGAAATAAATAAACCAAGATTCCTACTTCTGGTTGTATGTGGTTTGGCCTCTGGAGTAACTACCTCTTGTCATCTGACAGCCACCTTTTAGTAGCCACAGGGCAATTAGCTGAGTGGGCTATTAAATGTTCCCAATCTTGTAATCAATTTATTTTCTTGCCCTTTTATCCATAGAGAACATGGCAGCGTTCCCCCTAAGCTGAGTGAGTGTGAGCTAGCTCACAGATTTCTGCCTTAGCTCAGGAAGGAGGGCTCCAGAGCAAACTGATTTATGCAGTGGCCAAACTGCTCGCTCACAAAGTAGGATTTTTGCTCACAAGACTCCACTGCTTAGAAGGAGTGTTGGTTGGAGCACCTTCCTTATGGGGAAAGACTGAAAGGTTTCGGACTTTTCAGGGTAGAAAAGAGAGGACTAAGGGGGGAAATGAGACAGTTTTATGAGATTATGCATGGGGTGGTGAGAGTTGGCAAAGAGAATTTTCTCCCTCTCCCAAAAGACTGGAACTTGAATGCTTCTAATGAAGCTGACGGGCAGTAGGTTCAGGACAGACAAAAGGAAAGTGATTAAAACGTGGAATTCGCTGCCAGAGGGTGTAGTGACGGCCACAGGAATAAACAGCTTGAAAGGGGGATTAGATAGATTCACGAAGGGGTGGGTCTGTCAGTGGCTAGTAGCCAGGGTGACTGTGGGGGAACCTCCACATTCAGAGGCAGTCGACCTCTGAATCCCAGAGCCAGGAGGCAGCATCAGGGGAAGGCCTTAGCCTCTCTGCCCTGTTCTTGGCCCTCCAGAGGAACTGGTTGGCCTCTGTGTGAGACAGGAGGCTGGGCTAGATGGACCACTGGTCTGATTCAGCAGGGCTCTTCTGATATTCTAATGAAGGCCTCGGCCTCTCTGCCCTGTTGTGGGCCCTCCGGAGGAACTGGCTGGCCCCTGTGTGAGACAGGATGCTGGACTAGATGGACCCTTGCTGGTCT